CTTAGAGATTGAATATTGACAACTCCATCGATATCTTCACTTAGAAATTTACAGAATGTCTTCCTTTTTTATATATGGTCCATCTATTATTTGAGTTGATGAGTTATTCCTACTTATTTTTATATTTTTCTAAACTCTAATCTTTGATATTACTCATATGTCAGTGCTTATAAAAAACTTTCACTAGTATTGTAGAGAGACTATTAAGTTTGGGACACAATTCTTCAAAATCAAATTTCAGAGTTACTGTATGTCTTTTTTTGGTGCTAAGATTATTTAGAATATATATGCATACAAATATGTAAATAATTACATACATCATATATCACATATATACATGTATTATTCAGATAACATATATAAAGGACTCTAGTTTTTAAGCTTTTATTTCAGTCATTTTAGAGAGTTTCTTACTAGCAATAATATTTCTGAAGAGTAAGAAATTGGTTTGGCCTTGATTTTTTTTCTAGGGTAGTGTTTAATCATCTAGGCTACTAAGTTTTCAACTGATGTACAATGCATTACTATGTGTGTTAAAAGTCATTCTCATTCACTGGTAAAAATAGTTTATTTTTCTCCACTAGTAGGGACATGTTCGTTGAATATATAAATAAATAGACAAATAAATCCAAGAGTATATTATTAATTTTTAGCATTTAAAAACTTTTTGTGAAGTACAGCTTATGTAGAGTTTAGTGCACAGATCCTAAGTATAGACAATTCACAATGTGAACACAAAGATACTGTATCAAGAACTAAAATATTACCCACACCCCAGAGACTCACATAAGTTATTCTTAGATATATATCCTTTATAATTGATATTTTCTGTATGCTTACACTTGAAATACTTGAAAGAAGCTATAGCTAATTATTTTTTGAAAGAAAAGTGGACCTATAATTGTTAATATTAATTTATACTAATAATACTTAGCACAGTAACTGTCTAACAGTGGTACTTAATATTGCTTATTAAATTTGTTGAGTTTTTAGATTTATGTTGTGTAGGATTAACTTTTTTATATTCCTGTATTTGAAAAATGAGATTTTAAAAATGTTTTCAGGAAATAGCTTCCATCTAAAATTTTTATTAAGAAAAACATTAATGAAACCATTTAGGATTTTCATTACTTAAATATTGTAAAGTATTATTATCTTATATATCAAAGAACCATGACCCACTATTATATTTTCTTTGCTGTGTCTACAAACAGTCTTCCAATTGCATTCTCCAGGTATTCTCTCTGGTTTTAAAAATTATTTAGATAGGCTATCCATTCCCTTCACTAAGTATTCACTATTGATAAAATTGTATGTGTACCATCAGCTATGTGATAATGTAAGACAATTTTTTTCTCTGTTTTTCACGCAGCACAGGGGCTCTGCAAAGTGTCTCTGGGGGTTCTTTGATGTCTAGACAGTTTAAATTATGCCTGTTCCCCTGCCTCCAAATTCCATCCCTGTTCTGCTTCAGGGGTTGTGGGAAATGAAAACAAACCAGTAGGGTTCCACAGCCCTACAGTCTAGCGGGAAAAACAAACAAGTAAAATAAGCTGTATGTCTTCTCTGGCAGGTGTATAAGAATGGGGCCAATTATGGGGAATGGATAGAAGAAAAGAATGGGGGGTAAATATTGTCCTGCTTATTTATTTCTAATTATATTTGTTATATGGAATTACATCTGCATTGTGAACAAAATGAAAACATAGTAGAAGTATTAGGGAAGAAGGTCAAAGACCCCTTTTAGCCCAGTGGTCCACCCTTCCTTCCCAACTGCCCAAAAATCAGCCCAACCTAATACTGGGGGGTTTCCTGAACACTGTCCTATTTATTGAAATGATAAGATGAAGAATTGTGTTTTAAGTTAGAAAATTAACTTTCTTTTTTTTCTTTTCTTTTTTGTTTTCCTTCTATAAATCGGGATATCATGGTATTTCCAATTCATCTTGTTAGAAAGTAAGTAATTTTTGAAATTTCAGAGATTTTAAAAATTAAACCTTGATGTTTTATATTCACTTATACATGCTCTGCAACAGGATTTTTATCTTTTTAATTCTAACTGTGTGACTAACCTTTGCATTAACTGTGAAGAAAATGTTTTTGGAATTAATTAAAACTGAAATGTTACATAGAAGGTATTCATGCTATCTAAGAATATAGACTTTTTAAGCATAATGTCTGCCTCATCTTTTATACCCACAGTTAATTATTCTGTTTAAGATATGTGTTTGTATACATACACGATGTAGATATTGTACTTGCTAATTCTATTTTTTTCTGAATATGAAAATAGTAAATTAAGTAAATGAGATTTTAACTTATTCCTGTTCAATAGCAGTTAATTAAGACTTAGATTTCTTCAGAGAAAGTAATCTGTTTCCTAGACTTTATGGAATTGATGAGGATAATAGAAATAAGTAAATGATGTAAAAGATTTTTAAAATAATTTCCTATGTATATTTTGCATTGGATAACTCAGTTACCTTTTAATAAGCATTTAACTCTTTTGTTGCTAATTTTTTATTGTTTTCAAATAAATTGGGACAGAATAGTTTTTTTTTTTTCTTCATAAAGGAGCGAAAGTTTTGTACTTAAAACTAAGTGACTAACCAACGAGAGATTAAAGTTGTAAAATTTGCATTTTATTGCAAAAGTATTTCCTAATTTTCCAAAATGCAAGTGTTATGTAGTTTTGAAATAAAACAAATTTCATGTGCTTCTTTTGGGAAAGATTTGGGGAAATTACAATAGTTATTGAGACTTTTGGAGATGTGATTGCGAATTACATATTTTAACATTTTTCCATGTAAATCTTGAATTTATTGAGTTGATATAAACTGTAATTTAATAATATAGTCATGCTTAATAGAGCGTATTATTTGTATAAAACTGGGTGCTTATCACATATGTTTGCAGCCAGCATAGCATTAAATTGCTACTTAATAGCTAATTTATCTTCTACAATTCTCTTTAGCTTACTGTACCTTAGAAAGAAAATGTAAATTATAATGACGTTATAGTTGTTCAGTATTTCTTAGTTGTCTTTAAATCTGTATTCTTTAATATTCTAAATCTGAGTTCTTGGAATTGTGTGCATTAGGACATCAGGGATAAAGAGCAGAGAGACTTTTGTGAGGCTTCATGTTAGGTGGACAATTTTATTAAGTTATATTTTAAGAAGTCTACATTGTGTCATTTTTATGTATTGAATTCTATTTTACTTGTGTTAACATCTTCTTGCCAAGTCCCTATGGAAAGTCTTTATTTCTGACAGCTTCACTAAATTAAAACTCCCAAAAATCTGGCATAATCATTCCCAGCTTCAGATTTTCTATGCTTTTGTCTGAATAATATAATGTAAAGATATATATTTGCAGTGTTCGGTATAACATGTATTGCATAACTTATCTGGAATTTATTCATGGAAAGACATTTCTGGGAGATGAATATATTTTACTTTATAGATATACTTGGGCCCACTTTAAATATGAGCAAAAGTCTTTTGTGAGGGGGAAAATAATGAAATGAAGTCTGTAAGCTTGTAGAAGCTTCATGAGGAAAGATATTATGTAAGCACACAGCATTATTGCCATGTGTTACAACTGAATTGTTCTATGACCAAATTTATACTAGGACTCTTGTTTCCTGTCAAACCCAATGGAGTCATATTTATATGTTGGCACAGACAATCTGCTTCCTAAAATAATAAAGAGTATTTGTATTATGATAATACTTATAAACCTTTACAACTATGATACATATATATGCTGACTTGCTATTAAATCTGTTCTGGCAATTCAGCAAACTTGACTTTTTTTATTTTACTGGTGAGCTTTTATAGTATGAAATTTGATAATCGTGGTTTTTAGACAACTTTAAATTCAGTAACATAAATTATCTCCCATATTAGAAGTTTGAAAGCTTCATATCTTAAAGGCCTTATTGTTCCAGAATATTTTGGATTAAAAACCAATAATTCCTAAGAGGCATGTGGTTTGAGTGAGAGTAGGGCTTCTAATGAAATTTTGTTTGACCCAACACTGATATTTTTGCATAGTAGGAGGTAAAATATATATGGAATTATAATTAAATGAAAGTAATATTTGCAGCTCTAAATTTTAGTTTGCCAAATATTAGTTTGCAAGCAAAACAAAAAGAAGTTCTAAAATCTACCAGAAATATATATGTATTAGATATTTCATAAATATTTTTCCAAATACATGAATACATCCTAATAATGTTTGTACATATGTGTTTTGATATTTTTAATCATTAGTTTAATGCTGTTTGATTTCTTTGAAAGGTGATTTCATAATTCAGTCACTCGCAGCTTTACTATAGAACATGATTATTAGCTAGGCAGAATTTCCAAACACATATTTTTTTATTTGACATATGTAATTGAGAAAAGGATGTCATTGTGGAAGCTGTATCAGAGATAGAAACACACATACACTCATACCTTCTTATTTGTCCATGTGAGAAGTGCAGTCCTGTGAGTAACTTATAATTTCAAATCAGTTCTCCCTTGGTTTATTATTCTTTTGTTGCTTTTCAACCTATGGGATGGAGCTGCCCTTGAACTTGGTAACTTGGCTTTTTTTTTTTTTTTTTTGATCTTTCAAGTGCAACCATCAAATTGTCTGTAATATTTAAAAACTGAGGCTTCACGGTGTTATTTTTAAAATAACACCGCATAAACATTTGGGTTTTGGTTTCTGTAAAATATAGTCGTGGTTGTTTTGTGAATAAAAGCGTAATTTCAATTCAGGAGATATTTTTTCTGAAGCCTATAAGACAGATGCATCTGATTTACTTTGGTGAAACTGGACTGGCCCTTTATTGTAATGTAGATGTTTCAGGGTTGGGAGGATATTTTTAAAAGGCATGCAAAAAGATCTTTTTTTCTTTTCTTTTTTTTTTTTAAGAAACTCAGAGAACAGTTTTGCCATAGAAGCTGTACCTTAGACTGCTTCATTTTTGCATACTTTATTTTCTAGTGGAACCTCTCCATTAGCCTGTCTGAATGCAATGCTTCACACTAACACTCGAGTAGGGGATGGAACATTCTTCAAAATCCCTGGAAAGTCAGGCCTCTATGCTCTCAAAGTAAGTTGCATTGTTCTGCTTATTATGTCTAAGTTATTACTATGTATTATGCATTTTTTTCAGATATGTGAATGTAAACAAAATAAGATTTGGGTAAAGGGTAGAAGAATGACCCCAATGCCTTTAAAATATTTTCAGATGTCTTAAAATGATTTCATATTAAGAATAAACAATGACATTTTTCTTTAAGGAAAGCATGTCTGTGGTTTCACTCTGTAACATATGGTAATGGAAAATAGTTGTGGCTTCCTTAAAATTCTTGATTCTTTAAAAGTTATGGGATGGAGTGTCATGGATCATCAGCTAGGAGTTTAAGATGATCAAAGTTGCCATAAACTCTTGGGCTTAATGACTATCAGGTGATATAAAGGCTTCACACCTGTATGCCTTTCTGTCTTTTATAAAATAAATGTATTTATTCTCCTTTAAGACTTATTGATTTAAACCAGATATTCAATTTTAAAATAAACGATCTCAAAGAAGTTTTACTAATAATGCACACTTGTTGTATGAGAAAATAGGGAAATAAAAGTTTCAGGAGAGTCTTAATTATTTTAGTGGAATTATTTTAGTGGCATACCTGTTCCCATCTTGAAAGGGAAATGCCATCTGAAATGCAAAATTTCAGAGGACAAAAGCATATAACTTACAAATGATTGTGTAACTTTTGGAGTAAGTAAATCTATTGTGTTATTTTCTTACATGTTAAAAAGAAATCACTGCTTTAATAAGTAATGGATTATATTTAAGGTTCACTAGTAACTTTTGGGATTTCTTGAATGCCATAGCTATACCTAGAAGGGAAAGCAGGGATTCTTCCCCAGCTACTAAGCATTAGGCTTCTGTTACTAAGAGTGTGTTTCATAAAGTAACACGTTAATAACAAAAGACGTGTATTTATCCATTGTTTGTTGGATGTTTAAGCTATTGATTAAAATTCTAAATTGTTAAGCCATTTCTTTACATAAAAGAGGATACAGAATTGAAAGAAAATGGAAACATATGTCAAAAAGGAAACTTTTTGAGGGGATATAGATTTTAAAAGGTTATAAAAAAATAATAATCAGCCGGGCTCAGTGGCTCAGCCTGTAATCCCGCGCCTTTGGGAGGCTGAGGTGAGTGGATTGCCTGAGCCTGTGGGTTCGAGACCCGCCTGGGCAGGCAAGACCTCATCTCTACAATAAATCAAAAAATTAGTCGGGCGTGGTAGCGCGCGCTTGTAACTCCGGCTACTCGGAAGGCTGAGGCAGAAGGATCGCCGGAGTCCAGCAGATTGAGGCTGCGGTAGCCGGGAGCGGCCACTGCACTACAGTCTGGGTGACAGAGTGAGACTCCAAATCAAAAAATAATAATAATAATAATAATAATAATAATCAACACTGGCAATGGATTTTTCCCAGTTTTTTCCAGAAATAATCTTGCATTAAAAAGTAAATCGTACTGAGATTCAGTTTACAAATAGCTGTGATATTACTTTAGGATTCTAAAAGTATTTTGAATGTTTGTAGTTGCTAATACATCTCCATAAATCATCATTTTTGAAAATAATATAGAAAGAGGAGTCATCATGTCCAGTGGATGGCACGTTGGATTTAGTCTGTGAATCTGAATTGGACAGTACAGAAATGGCTGAGGCAAATGCAGATGGAGAGGAAAATGGAGGTAAGTGTGACTAATCTTAAAATATTAACCTTGTTCTCTTAAACATTATATAGAATGTCAATAATTCACTAATTGTATTATCCATCATTATGGATATACTTTTCTTCTAAATTTTTACCACTTACTGAAATTTGTCATCAAATAGTTTTGGTTCAAGAAGGTTAGCATCTACGAAAAGTACAGTTATTTGTGGGGTTTTGTTTTTAACAATATGTATTTTGCTAAATAATTTATTGAATGTTTTCAGTATCAGTATATTTCTCCTGCAAGATGAGTGAGTTACTGGAGGTATCTACAGTTTTATTCTTATGGGAGGACTGAATACCAGTGTTTTATTTCTGATAGTGCTGACCTACCTTGTGTGTGAGTATATGTGATCACAAGTAGTTTTATAGTAGCTTTATTCCCTGGTTTGCCTCTTGTAAAAAAAGCTTAATGTTGCTATTTCTCACAATGAAACAAAGGCAAAAGAGGATACTTTCTTGTTAAATACTTTCAAAAGTGAGTGACCCTTCCAGAATTCTGAGGGGGGCATTTTCCACCTATGAGTTCTATCCATGTGAATTCATTTTTATCTTTCTCAAGACAATTCTATTATGAATCTGTTGGTGTAATTCTGTGCTGTAATTTTGGCAAATCTTTGTCCCACAAATAACTGCTGTGCTTTCTTCTGCCCTACCCACTGCTCCCACAAATGGACCCAGATCGTGATTTGGGAGGAAGACTGTGTAATTAAAGTCTCTGTCAGTAGACTCATAGGAATCAGTAAATTATCTTTAAACAAACAAACCTTAAAGGATCCTTCCAGAAATATTGTATTTCAGTAATAACCCAAAGCCATTCATTTTATTAATGGCCATGGGAGTTCCTCTGTATGCTCTCTGCATGCTGACTGAACACTCCTGCCCTTTAGACTTGTGTGCTTTTTCATAGGCCCCATAAGAGTGATGCTGCTTAAGTTCCTATCTGATCTACAGCAAAAGTTGTGAATGTCAAATAAGAAACACAGATTTTGTCTTAAAGAAATGACAAGAATGGTTGCATTCTACTTTATCAACTGCTTTTTTAGCAACTTTTATTTCACTTGATGTCCCTATTTCTATGCTTTTTTGAGTCCCTCTCCCCATTGATGTGGTAGTAATATGAACTTTGGCAGGTTCTCATGCTTAGTGAGAGGAAAAGACAGATTCAGAGTAATTTCTGGCTTTCTAGAAGGGCTGGTAAATGAGGTAAACTCTTCTTTTTCAGTAGGATGAAGGAGAATCTTCATGAAGTCATTTCTATTGTTGTGCTATCTGCTTGCATGAACACTCATGTGCTATCTCTCCACATACATATTGAACTTCTACTCTGTAACAAGTGCTCTCTTGACATTGCTGTTACAGCAGTAAGAAACAAAAATAAATCTCCCATGAAGCTTGTGTTCTTTGAGAGATAGACAATAAGCAAAATACCTATGTAAAGTGCATAGCTTATTCAGCAGTGACAAATGACATGGGGCAAAATCAATAAGGGAGTAAGAGTCAGGCAGAGGGGTATAAAGATCTGAGGGAAGTGAAAGAGGAAGCATTGAGGGGGAGATAATTCTAAGTAGAAGAAACAGCAATTACAAAGACCTTGAGGCAGGAGAGTGCCTGGAATGTTCCAGAAACAGCAAGAGGCTGGCGTGGCTTTGAGGTCAGAGTGAATAAGGAACAGTATGTTAAGGTACAAAGCTGGATAAACTTTGAGGGCCAGATTATACAGTGCCTTGGTATTGGCTTTTGTTTTGAGTAAGATATTAAACTACTGCAGAGTTCTGAGCTAGAAAGACAATGATCTCACTTAGGTTTTAGCAGGATTACTGGGCAGCGAGACCTCATCTCTACAATAAATCAAAAAATCAGCCAGGCGTGGTAGCGCATGCCTGTAATTCCGGCTACTCGGAAGACTGAGGCGGAAGGATCGCCGGAGCCCAGCAGGTTGAGGCTGCGGTGGCTGGGAGCGGCCACTGCACTCCAGTCTGAGTGACAGAGTGCAACTCCAACTGAAGCTGTTGTAATCTAGAGGAGAGATGATAGTGAGTTGAAGGAAAGGAGCAGTGGACATGATGAAAAGAGGTTGGATTATGAACATATTTGAAGGTAGTTCAACAATATATTTATCAACACGTAAATATAAATGTGAGAAAAGAAAGAAGATGGGATGACTCCAAAGTTGAGGTGTGAGCTAGTAGAAGAATATCATTGTCCCTAGCATATATGGAATAACCACAAGAGAAGCAGCCGTGTTGATCAGGAGCTCAGCCTTGGATATATGGAATGCAAGACCCCTTTTCAACCACCCAGGTGGGTATGTTAAGTACTTGAACTTATCTGTATGAAATTTGTGGGAAAGACCTTTGTTGGAGATACACATTTAGAAGTGGTCAGTTTACAGACAGCATTTAAACACATGAACTAGGTAAGATCACCAAGTAATTGAAAGTAAATAGAAAAGAGCCCAAAGACTGAACTCAGAGCCACTTGAATTTTAAGAGGCTGGAGAGCGTATAGATAATAACAAATGAGACTGAGGATAAGTGGACTTGAAAACATTAGTTTTCTGTCCTGGAAACCAAGTGACAAAAATGTTTCTGGGGATAAAGTGACTCAAATGTGTCAGTGCTTTTGATATATGGAGTTATGATAAAGATTAAGAAATTACCAATACATTCACCTTTGTGGGGTTATCGATGAATTTGATAATGACAATTTTTGGGGAATAGTAAGGTCAAAACTTGAATAAAGCGGGTTGAAGAGAATAGGAGGGGGAAAACGAGGCCACGAGTGTAGCCATTTTTTCCAGTGATTTTTTTATGTCTAGAGAAGAAGCAAAATGGGTAAATAACTGGAAGACAAAGAAAAGAAATATTTTTAAAATGAGAAATAAGTATTAGAATAATTGCCTTACTAAGCAGAACTTTTCAGTGGAGGAGAATAAATTGATAATAAAAGAGAGGTGGATATTCTGTTGCCATGTGTTTGATTAGGAGGGGTATGGGACCTATTCAGCAGATGAAGAGATTGGCTTTAGCAAGTGGTGTAGACAGCTACTCTAAATAAGGTAGTAGGAAAAGTCAGGGTATTTTGATAGAATTGAAGATAGGTGAATGCATGTAGAAGGGACTCATGGAATTTTGCTTCTTATTGCTTTATTTTTCTCATAGAAAGAAGGAATGAGTTCATAGCTGAGGGTGAGGATAGGAGATCGTTTTGTAGATTTAAGGAGACGACACAAATTGTTTGTCTAAGGGATTCTCACAGCATTAAGGGCATTCTTCCAGTTACTAATCCTGAATTTACTATGAGACCAGCCAGCAAGGTTGTCCATTTTTCTCCAGTCATTTGAGGACTACTGTACAAGTGCAGAGTATGTGTACAGTTAGATTTGACTGGAGTTGGGATTTTCTCAAATGCAACTGATGAAACGAGAGAGACAAAGGAGTTGAGGGTGTATGAAATGATGTAATTATGGTGAATGTTCATCAAAGTTAAGCTGGATGTGGAGAGGAGTTGAAGACACAGTTGTGAGGGATGGCATAAAAAGAAGGCAGTTTCGTTGGTGTGGAAGGATTGTTCGATTTGGTGTTCTAAAGAAGATGAGTCAGAAGCATAGTGTTGCAAGAGTGGAATGCATGGAATTAAATTTGGGATACTATTATGAAATGAATTTTCCAGAATGAGAGGGGAAAAGGGTGCTGGGTAAGGCCATGTGTGGACCACGTGTAGACTCCTCAGAGGTGCCTGGTGGAGAGGCCATCAGTGGCTGAGATTCAGCACCCCTTCATTTTTCCAGCCTTGTGCTGTGGGATGGGGCTTGGTTTACCTAGAGGAAATGCTACCTTTTCTTATTTGCACAAAGATACTGTAAAAGGTAGTGGTGGGTAGATACTAAAGAATCATCTCCATGGGTATTAAAACAAATTATGATAGAACTAGCTTGGACAAGAAGTCACTTCTGAGAGCCAAAATCTTCAAAAAATGAAGGAGAGTAACCCATAACCTGTCAGATAAGCACAGTAAGAGAAGTGGTTGGTAGTACAGTCTGATGGCATAAGATATAATGCTGGAGGCATCAAAGGAGCCAGGAAGGGAGAATAGTCAGGAAGGAACCATGAAGAGACTATATAGGTTGCTTATCTCATTTCCAGGCCCAGTTGCCTAAGGGGTATGGGGGGAAAAAAGCACTATAAACAAACAAACAAAACAAAAAAGCAAAGGCTACCACCTTAGAGCATTCCAGGGGAACTAGTGCACCTGGAAGACAGCCAGGTTGTATATGTCAAGCTGTGAAGGGAATGTCCCGAGAGAAGATGAGGGTGCAGGGGATTTAGCTAATGACTAATTCCAAATTCCAAAGGAAACAGTAAGAGGGTTTTAGAAGTTGGGAGAGAGCAGAGATGGTGTGAGAGCACTCAGGCAATAATTAAGCCAAAGCAGGGATAAGCAAACTCCCTTAATTTGCCCAGAATAGGTACTTCACAAAATAACACATACCCACACATATCCAGTTAACGTGGCCAAAATTAAATTTCCTGGCCTTTCCTTTGAAGTTGCATTTGGGAAATTGCTTTGGGGAAATCACTAAAAGAATAGTAAATAGCTTATTTCCTTGAGTATTCCTTAACTTGCTCACTTTTGTGTCTTATTGCAAACCACAATTGCTTCTCCATGTAAGTACCACATGCCTCTGTGTATAGCCCATTAATCTAGCGTCTGAATGCATTTTCAAACCTAGGTATTGAAAGTCTATCAAGCACTTTGTTATTTTGTTTAGGCTTTGTTCTTTTGCTGTTTTACTAGTGTGGAAACAAACAGGTTAAATGTCCCATCCAAATTGCAAGTCAGGTGTATGTGACTCCAAAGGCCAGGCTCTCATCACCCTAACACCCTGCCTGGAACCACAGGGAACACATATTAGCCAGTGGTCATGGGTACAGTTTACCTTTCCAACATTAGTGCTAATCCATTTTTATCATG